CCCCAAAACCCCAAAACCCCAAAACCCCAAAACCCCAAAACCCCACCATATAAATTATTTGGATAGATCAAATCAGTAATTAACATTATATTTTTATAGATAAGAACAAAATATATATCATTGCCGATTTGTAGATAAGTTCAATATATCATAAAAATTATATCTATAAACACGAACATTATTTCATGTTAAATTTGTCCATTCTCACAGTATTTACTATCAATGCAATGGTAGCGCATGCTCAGAGGCATGAAAAGTCTGGGCCAGTCTATGAAGGCTAAACTGCAGCCTCTAAAATGCAATAGCTTTGGAGTCTAGCTTCTGAAAGATAATAGTCTCAAGCATGGCTTTGGACTCCATTTACCCTGGGTATATTTTTTGAAAACGTTGCAGTTACTACCTAGAGAGTAGCTGATACATATGAAGATACTTTAATAGGAAGGAGATTTAAGTTTGTACACTCAGTTGGGAGTCTCGCTAAATTCCAATATACTACAACTGCTAATGCTGAGGGATATACAGGGATATTTGCCTCAGGCTGTGATAATGGCATTATTAGATTTTCTACTGCGAAGGAATTTATAACTTCTAAATCATCAGCTGATTAAGCTTACGATAATTTCATACCTGCAATTGCTATGAAGTTTCTGAGAAGCGGAGTTCATTCTGGGAACGTAATGGGAATGTATGGAGTGAACGGAATTCATTCATGGAATTTCTTCAAAGAAGATTTCAGCAACCATATCCCAGGATCAGATGGAATTTTATTAAATCTTATTGGCACTGCCCTTTAATCAGCGACTCCCTTTGTCTAGTACTTGGGACTTTCAGATATTGCAAAATATGATCAAGATGGAAACGAGGCTGCAAATATCAAGTTTCCTTTTAAACTTGTATTCGAGCCATAACTAAGAAATCTGTTCCCAGAAACCTTTACCTTGGATTATCAAGAATAACTTGCCACTATTGCTAGCAACACTGTACTCTACAAGGTATATGCTTACGATGGCCCTCACTCTGTTAACAAAGTAGAAATTGGACAGTTGAAAATCACTTCACAAATTATGAAGAGTGAATTCGGAGATAAATTCCTATTTTTCAAACATTAAGATATCAGAGAAGATATAGCTCTGAAACCAGAATGGCAAGGAAGCTATGATAGAGCGTCTGTGACATCTACATAATGCCCAGTAGCCATCTTAAGCAATGGATTTAAATACCTAATGGAAGTGTTCAAAAGTATGATCTTCTGAAACAATATACTCTAATTAATTATTAAATTCCTTGACAGCTATTGATTAATAATGAAATACATAAAATCACTTCCTATTATAGAAATGAGGGGTTTTGGGGTTTTGGGG